CCCTTATTTTGTAAATGAGGACCATGAGGTCTGTGTGGAAGATCGTGATTTGCTTGAGGGACATACCTACTAGCTGTAGGGCCAAGCCTGAAGCCCTGTCTTCAGAGTCTCAGTTTTTTACTCTTCCAATTTGTATGTGTGCCTTCTTAAGTAGAACCTTCTTAGGAAAAAAATGACTTTGGAAGTTCTCTTCAGTTTTCCAAGTGATAGTTACTTTGCCCTCTGGTTAGTTGGACTTTGGATGGGAATTTTCTTCAGGATTCCTTTTCTTCCCCAAACTGACGTAGTATTTGGTTTCTAAGAGAAACTAGAGACCCATTTAAAAAGGCCTTTCCAGGAGGCATCTCAACATCACTATTTCCTCCCTTGTTTCCATTTTCTCTTCCCCATTTTTTCAATAAGACAGAATGGAGAGAGTAGCAGAGCATGAGAGGTTGGCTTGTTTATCTTGATTATTGAGATCACCTTACTAGGAGCGTTCCATTCTTTTCTTCTATTATACAAACTGCTGAATGAAAGGCTGCTGGGTGCTACCTCTTGGCCTCCCAGGTAGGTCAGCAGGTTGAGCAGGCTGTCAGTTTGCAAGTGACTTTTACAGAATTGGGTTGAGAATTGTTGGGATCTGGAACTAAAGTAGCCCATACTGGATGCCACACTAGAAATAAAATGGCCACAAGATGATGTGCTTTGGCAAATTAGCTGAGAAGAAGCGAATATCAGGTCCTTTACTTTAGAAAGAAGGTGGTTACCAGAACTGCTTGAAAACAGCATACCAGGCCTTTCAGCCCACATACCCGATTGACATAGTGTGATCTCACTGAAGTTTGTTTCATGGGCCAAGTATCATCCTGAGTTGTTGACTTACGACTGCACTTACTGTAGTCTATTTACCATGGTCTTATCAAGACGGGTTCTGGGCGTCTTGAGATGCCTGTACTTCCTTCCACGCTTTCCCTGTGCTTCTTGTACTTGGACATGGGTTAGCTTTTTGGAAAGGGTAGGATTTTAGGAGGTAGGAAAGTTAAGTTCTAGTCTCAGTTCTAGTTCTCTTTCTATAAGAGAAATTCCCTTCATGACCTTGTATCAAAGCCTTTAGTTTCCTAATCTGTGCAATAGGGATTTGGATTGAGTTAGCTATAAAGTCTTACAAAATTCTAAAAATATCATTTTAGCATTATTTTTTAAGTGGAGGAACTTTAACTCTTCTGCTTGTATATTAAGGCTCAATTCTCTTGACTATGAAATGAGAAGTCATCTTACATCAGTGATTTCAAGAATATCATGACATTGGAGAGATCTTAAATGGGCCATAATTCCAGGTTCACCATATGTTCTTATTTGGTAGAGAAAACAGGGACTATTTCATCTTGTTTCTTGAAACATAAAAAAACCAGTATTGTGAAGGAGAAAAGTACATAACGCCAAAATTTTAGTCATACAGACGTGTCACTGAATTTCCAGTGGCTTAGATCTTAGAATACAAGTTGGTATAATTGGACTGAGGCTCCTCCCAGCCATGGTAGGGCTCTCTTCTGGTGCTGAAAACAGGAAGAACCAGTCTTTCTCCCCCTGCCTTCCCACACATGCATATACATGTATGCCAGTATACACATACCTATACACACACGTACAAGGCACTGAACTATTTAGGGAGATATCAGGAAGCACAGTACACAATCCATGCTCTTATGAAACTTAAAATTTTATTAGAAGTTAATATGCTCATATAAAAAAGGCACGATATCAGGTTAGGTGAGTAAATGCTAAGCATTGAGTGTGTGATATGGTGGTACAGATAATAAATCCTACTGGAACTGGAGGAAAAGATACATAATTTAGAAATGGATTAGGAAAGATTTCTTAGAGGAGGGAAATTTGAGCTTTGTGTATAATCAATGTTTAGTAATTGTGGGTTCAGAATAGTAGTAGCTAAATTTTAAACAGCACTTAACACTGTTTAGGATCGGTTCTAGGTGCTTTTCATAGATGAGCCCATTTATTCCTCATAAAAATGCCCTAGGGCAAATATCCTACATATTGCAAGTGAAGAAAACTGAGTCTCAGAGAGATAAACTTTCCCAAGTTCTCAGATGATGGCTTTGGGATTTAGGCCCAGGTGGTGTGTCCCCTTGACTATAGTGGGACATTTTCTCAATGAAGGCTCAGGTCTGGATGGATGGGTGGCATAGAGAGGAAGTTCTAATCAGAAGAGGTGGGACTGTTCCTGATAGAGGGGAACTGAGTTTTAAGGGGGGGCCTTATAGAGAAAAAGAATATTAAAGGACAAGTAAAACAGTAAAGGTATAGTGAATATTTGCTTAGAATGAGGAAATAATCACAATGTCAAATATAGGCATGCTGATGAGTATTACATTCAGTAATTATTCAGTATTATTCAGTAATTAGATCAGTAAAATAACACTATAATGAATGAGGTGCCCACTTTTTTGTTTGTGTGTTTGTTTTATAATTGCCAAAGAGTGTGTACACTTGTGTGAGAGAGACAGAGACAGGGAGGAAGTACTCCCGGAATGGTGTGTGGTCCTATTAAAATGTCTTTTCTTCCATTTCTCTGTGCCGTCAGGATTTAGGAAATGCACACACATTTGCCCAGCCTATTTTTCAAGCATCAGGGCTGGATTTGAACCACAGTCAGTCAGGTTGGATCTGACTGTCTGTGCCCAACACATAACCACAGTGCTATATTTGTACATTTTTTCACAGCATTTTCGTATGCCAGTGACTTTGTATGTTTTGTTTTTTTCTATAGAGAAAATAAAAAGATTATTCAGTTTTCTCTCTGGTAATGCTCATGAATATTCTATTATTGCTTGTTTAGAAAAGTACTTTCAGTTTTTCAATACATTACTAGTAATGCTATGTAGATATAGGAATTGCCAAAAAAGTTTACAGAAAATGCATATTATTAAAAAAAGTTATGCTTGTGGCGGCAGCAGGTGGTTAAGGCACTGGACACTCCCACATGGCTAACCACAGTTCGAGTCTCAGATCTGTTGGCTTGCTTTCTCACTTTCCCTCTCTCTTTCTTTCTGTTTCTTTCTCTGGTCAAATTAAAATAAATAAAATTAAATAAATATTTTTTAAAAAGCTATGCCTGGATTTTTATTTTTTTGCACCAAAAGAAATTCATACTATAATTTCATTTTCTCAAACTTTCTGAAGTTCCCTCATATGTAGGACTATTGCCAAACTTAGGAAAATCTCTACCAAGTTTCTTTCGTATATGAGCTACAAGGTATCAGGGCCTTTAGACATTTCTTGTTCTATGACTAACAGTAAATACTCTTAGAATTAGTGCAACTTAGGGGTCAGCAGATGGCATGGTGGTTAAGGGGCTGGATTCCTACATGGCCGACTGCAGTTTGATTCCTGGAGTTAGCAACTTGAAAGGCATGGCAGGCATGTGTGTCCAAAATCATAAAAGGAGAATAGAGGAGGGATTGCGGCATGGTCATCTCCCGGGAGATGATTTTTCACTACACCTCTTTCTGTCTCTGTTCACAGTGAGTACACGTACCCTATGGCAAAAAACTAAAAAAAAAAAAAAAAAAAAAAAAAAAAAAGAGTGCTATTAAGTGTATTAAGTGTTTATGTCCCTGTTGTAACGTAGAAGTGATTGCAAACTACATAAGTATATCCTGTGTAGACTCTAAATGGACTCCTAACTCAACTTCTTGTACAGATTACCTAAGTACAAATTTCTTAAATAGATACAACTTTCTTGTTTTAATTTTATTTATTTATTTATTTATTTATTTGAGATTTTTGCTATAGGGCATGTGGACATGTGTGACCGTTCAAGAGACAGAGAGAGATACTGAGACAGAAAGTGAAAAATCACCCACCAAGGGGGATGACCATGCCACATTTTCTTCTCCATTCTCCTCTCAGGATTTTGGGCACACTCACAAATGCACCTGGTGTATTTCAAGCTGCTGAATCCAGGACTCGAACCATGGTCAGCTATGTGGGAGTCCAGTGCCTTAATGACTACACCATCTACTGGCCCTCAATACAATTTTCTAATGATACCCAAAATGAGGGAGAATGTGAAGGATGAGGAGTTGTAGTGGCAGAAAAAAAAAAAAACAAAACAAAAAACTTAACAGATGACAAACAATTAAAATATTTTTCTTTTGAAATGTTAAAGCACGTGATTATATGAACACATTGCTGGATCTTCTTCCAGGTCTTTGAAAGGGCCTATACAAACCGGGGACCCTGAAGCTTAGTCCTCATGAACTTTCTGCTAAACCCACTTGGGCTTACCATGTGTGTCCTGAATAGTACTCAGACCATTCCTACTGGAGAGTGAGGAGGGCTCCTACTGACTAGAGTGGCTGAAGGGAAAACGAGGTCTTGGGCTGGACTCACATATTCAGCTTTTGGTGATCACTGGTGTCCCAGTTGATCCAGATATAATTGTTCATCCACGACTAAAGTGAACCATCAGGCTGGCAAATCAACAACAGATTTTGATGTGAATTTTGATTTTTCCTTTCCAGGCTGCCAGCAAAAGCAATGAGAAGGTGTCTACCAGTCCACACGGTAAGCAGGCAGCCATTACTAATCCTGTGGAAGTTTAGCTGCCCACGATTGTAGTAGAGGGTGTTCTCAGCCTTCTGTCTTACGGCATTGCTCCTTGATGGCTTGCATCTGGATTCTGATTTATTTTCCCTTTACATTGAATCCTACGTTCCCCTCAGTACCCTCTGCTCTACCCTCGTCTGAAAGTTTTTTGTTATAGATCTTTTGGATTAAACCAGCTTCAATTGATCCAGTGGCTCAGACAGGTCTGGGAGAACTCATGGAGGATATAACTCACAATGAAGCTCTGGAACTGGGAGTCTTCTCAAAGAACTTTAGGGGCAGTGGATTCCAAAGTAGAGTTGGTATGGGGAGCTCCAGCGGTATGAGGAGGAGGCTCAGGGGTTCATGTGGTGGTGTAAGGGTACTCTGAACTCTGAGCTCTTCCCTCTCACTTCACCAGGGGAATTCCACCAGAGTTTCAGGATAAGGTTTTATTGGAAACAATAAGATTTTATTGCTGAAAAATGTAACAATCACTGGTATATTTCAGTCTCTCTCCATATTACCAAGAAGGGATGCCTGATATGTATAGGATTTATGTACCTTCACTGCAGTGGCACCGTGGTGATCAGCCCAGTGTAGCCCAGCTCTTTCATCTAATATGGACACCTTTTATTTTCACAGGTATATGCAATGGTGTCTGTATGAACAAGTCTCACTGCAGTCAGCCTTGTCCTCCAGACACTCAGGGAAACATGGGGTTTTTATGCAGGAAAAACAAATGGCACAAGATCACTGATACCTGCCGGACTCTTAATGCCTCCAATATTTTTGAGGTAATATCCTTTCGCTCACAATGTGGGTTCTAATGTAGGCTCTATCTACAAAGTGGAGCCTCAGATAATCCATGATGCCTTCAGTAAGAGAGGGCAAGAGAAGAACATGTAGCAGGGCAGCAGGTAGGTGTGTTTGTACATAAAGACATAAACGCAGCTTTGAGTTCCTGCCTCAGCCTCCAAGTTGGGAGTAGGGGCCTGTGTTACCATGTCTGACTTGCTTAGACACGGTCAAGGAAGAACATCATGCAGGCCCTGAGGTGAGCTTGGAGGGGTTGAGTAGGGATATGATCCTCTAGGACCATTGGCTCCCTGCCATGTGATGGAACATGCTGGAGGAGGGCCAGAAAGGGATCCTTCAAAACAAAGGTCAGCAAACTTCCTGTAAAAGGCCAGATACTGAGTAGGTTTGGACTTTGTGTCTGGGTCTCTGTTGTGTTTATTCAACTCTGCTCTTGCAGCACAAAAACAGCCATAGACAATACTTAAAATGAATGAGCTGGTTGAGTTCCAAGAAAATTTGATTTACAAAAGAAAAGATTAGAAAAGCATCCAGCCAGGAATGTAGTTCGCCACTCCTAAACCCTAATGAATGGAAACCCAGAGCTTGACTCTCTGGAAGAAACTGTCATTATTTTCAGTCATTCTTCCATTTTAGTGGTACAGTTGATTCATCCAAATCTAGTTAAAAATGTATTTCTTTCTTTCTTTTATTTATTTTTTTTTAAGGTTTTAGCCATAGTGTACATGCTCTCACTGATGAGAGACTGTGAGAGATGGAGAGAGGGAAAATGAGAAAACATGCCCTAGAGAGGATGGCTATACCAAAATCCCTTCTCCTCCATTCTCCTCTTGGGATTTGGGGCACACATGCACATGTACCCCGTGTAATTTTTAAGCCAGTGGGTCTGCAACTCAAATCATGGTTGACTTGCAGGAATCCAGCACTGTAACCACTACTCCACTTGCCGGTCCCAAGAATTTCTATTATTAAGGTGTGTTCATGTGTCATGCTTTGATCCCCAGGAATAATAAAAATAAATGTAAGTGGCACTAGAAATGTACATCTGTACAAAGGATATACCTACAGCATATACACACACAGAGAAGGTGTTTGAAGTGATAAGCTAGAGATAACAGTTGCTATCTTGGGGAACTGGGTTTAAGAGTAGGCAGTTGGGGGTACCAGCAGTTGGCACAATGGCTATGTTGCTGGATTCCCATGTAGTTGACTGCAGTTTGAGTCCTGGACTCGATGGCTTAAACTCACGCTGGGTGTGTGTGCGTGCATGTCCAAGATCCTGAGAAGAGAATGGAAGAGGGGGGATTGAAGCACGGCCAATCCTCCTGGGGGATGATTTCTCACTTTCTGTCTGTCTCTCTCTGGCTTTCTGGTGAACACACACGTCCTATAGCAAAAACCTCTCAAAAATAAAAAAAAAAGTTGGGAAGTTGAGACTTTTATTTTCTGGCTCATATACATTGGTAATAGCCAAGTTGTTCCACAGCAGATATGATCATTAAAATGTAAAATAGAAAAACATTATGCAATATACAAGTGTATATTAAGATTGTCCTAAATGTTACGCACTTTTACATTTAACACAAAAATAGTATAATAAAGATGTCTTTCTTGTTCCCACATCTCAGGGGAATTCACATTCAGACCTATCACTTGGAGGAAGCATAAAGCTAACAGACTATTCTGCAACACCTACCACCATAGCAGCTATGTTGATGCAAAAGTGTCCGAGGGATTTGTCTTGTGTAATTAGAAACATTCAGCAGTCTCCCCGGATACCAGGGAACATTGCTGTGATTGTGCAGCTCTTACACAACATATCAACAGCGCTGTCGACAGATGTTGATGAAGTAAAGATGAAGGTGGGTGGCCTCGAATAGTTGGTAGAGCATTGTCTTGATGGGAAAGGAATTCAGGTTAGTGGAATATTCTGTGAGCTTCTTCTAGTTGGGGTCCATGCCTTTCATGTCAGTATTTTAAATGTCTAATAGCAAGTGTTTTATATATTTTCACTGAAGAAAGAGTGACTAAGTGAATGGAAAATGTTTTTATTTAATAAACATTTATAGAGCACACTTATTTGGTACTGTGATAGACACTGGGTATGGTGTCCAGTGTATATTTTGGCTACTGAAAACCTCAAAACATTCTGGGCCTTGTAGAGAGAAAGACTTTTATTATTTTATTGGTGAGTTAAGACTGGTTGAAAAAAAATGGAAAATGATGGAATGCCAAGAAAATAGGCATACATAGGAGGGGATCTTTAAAACATTCACAGAAGATATGTATCATGAAAAAGCCATGTATGCAGAATCTTTTTAACACCTAAATAAACTTATACTTTAATTCCATTTTCCATGAGCTATTTGAAGGATCCATGTATGTGCTGCAGAAATGTATGGAACTGAATCTTTTTTTTTTTTTTTTTTTTTTTTTTATGGTCTTGGAAGTAAAGGATAGTAAAAAGCAGATTCAGCCTCTGGGGGCCATTTGCAAATTAGTGTGTTCCTGTACAAGGTCTTGCATCACAGTTGAGATTTAATAGATATTAATTACATAATGGGCACTCTGACCAGGCTAAGCAAATGGCTTGTTTTACCCATAGGTAAAGTAGAAATGGTGATGGGAATGAGCACAGTGAAGGCTGTCCCCTTGCCCATATCACAGGAAGGCATTGCCTGAATGGAGGAGGGCATGGAAAGGCAGTACCCTTGCATCTCTATCCTTTAACTCAAGTTCAGTGTGTATGCAGATCATTGGGGGAAGGGTCTTACTAAGATGCTGTTTCTGGCTCATTAAGTCTGTGGTGGGGCCTGAGATTCTGTTGACTAAGAAGTTCTCAGGGGATGCCCAGGTTGCTGGTTGAGGATCATACTTTATAAAATGTACTAGCAGTTTCAGAGAGTGGCTGACATCTAACTCTGGTTTGTCATTAACAGAGTTACAGCAGCATGGCCAACCACATTCTTAACAGCAAAAGCATCTTGAACTGGACCTTCATTCCTGAAAGAAACAGCAGCTGTGTCCTGCTACACTCAGTCAATTCTTTTGCAAGAAAGCTATTAATAAATAAACATCTCATTGACATATCAGATGTCTTCATTCATACCATGGGCACAAACACATCTGGAGACACTGGAAACAATTTCACGTTTTCAATGAGAGTTAATGACACCAGCAGTGAAATCACTGGGAGGGTATTGGTCAGTCGAGATGAACTCCAGAAGGTGCCTTTCCACTCTCAGATCATAGCCATCGCATTTCCAACTCTTGGGGCCATTTTGGAAGCCAGTCTTTTGGAAAATGTTACTGTGAATGGGCTTACTCTATCTGTCATTTTGCCTAAGGAACTTGAAAAAATATCACTTATTTTTGAAAAGATCAGCAAGTCAGAAGAGAAGAAGACATGGTGTGTTGGCTGGCACTCTATGGAAAGCAGATGGGACCAGCAGGCCTGTAAAATGATTCAAGAAAACTCCCAGCAAGCTGTTTGTGAATGTAGGCCAAGCAAGTCATTTACCTCTTTCTCAATTCTTATGTCACCCCACAACATGAAGAGCCCAATCCTGGTTTATATCACATACATAGGCTTGGGCATTTCTGTTTGCAGCTTGATCCTTTGCTTGTCCATTGAAGCCTTAGTCTGGAGCCAGGTGACAAAGACAGAGATCTCATATTTACGCCATGTGTGCATTGCTAATGTGGCAGCCACCTTGCTGATGGCAGATGTGTGGTTCATTGGGGCTTCCTTGCTTAGTGGTCCAGTGACGCACCATAGCGGATGTGTGGCAGCAACATTTTTTGTTCATTTTTTTTACCTTTCTGTGTTTTTCTGGATGCTTGCCAAAGCACTCCTTATCCTCTATGGAATCCTGGTTGTTTTCCATACACTGCCCAAGTCAGTCCTGGTTGCATCTCTCTTTGCAGTGGGCTATGGGTGCCCTTTGGTCATTGCTGTTATCACAGTTGCAGCCACTGAGCCTGGCAAAGGCTACCTACGACCTGATGCCTGCTGGCTCAACTGGGACATGACCAAGGCCCTCCTGGCCTTTGTGGTTCCTGCTCTGACCATCGTGGTAGTAAACCTGATCACAGTCACGCTAGTTATCATCAAGACCCAGCGAGTTGCCATTGGCAGTTCCATGTTCCAAGAAGTGAGAGCCATTGTGAGAATTAGTAAGAATATTGCCATCCTCACACCACTGCTGGGACTGACCTGGGGATTTGGAATAGCCATGGTCATTGATGACAGCTCCCTGGCCTTCCACATTATCTTCTCCGTACTCAATGCATTCCAGGTAAGTCTAGATGTTTTGAAACAATTCCACAGAGGGGAGAGATTTCATGAAGAGGCTTAGTGATCAGAAGCTTATGTTTCTAATAAAAAACAAAGGATTTGGAACAGCATATTGAGTAAGAAAATAAGCTTTTGTTCTAGATTCAGAATTTGGAATCAAATCCTGACTCTCATTTGCTAATAATATGTAACATGATCTTAGATATTTTTCTTAACTTTTTTAAGCCATGTTTTCTTTACATATACAATGAGTATACTATAATAATAATAATAATAGTATTACTGCCCATATTATGTGGGTTTTTGGAAAATGAAATTAAATGGTGACTATAAAACTATCAAGTACAAAAAGGATCTAAAGATCATAAACAGTCTTTAATTGGCTGAGTTGTTCTTGTTTAGAAATTAAGCAATGATACCTCCCCCCAAATTTAGGTACGTAATTTTAAGTATAAAATGCATATTTGGACCCAATTGTGGCATGTGCTACAACTTGATATTTTTCAAAAAAGTCAACATACTGAAGGCACCTGTTAATAAAGTTCTTAAAAAAAGAAAAAAGCTATGCTGTGCAGGCTAGTGCCACACTAGAAGCCCAGGTTCGATTCCCAGACCAACTTAAAGTCTGAGCATAGTGGTGTGTGCCTGCATTCCCTTCAATTCGGGAGGCTGAGGCAAGAATACTGCAAGCTTGAGGCTGATCTGAGTGTAACATAGCAACAATCTGTCTAAAAACATGAGGTGAGTGTGGTGGCATATGTCTGTAATCCCATTTGGGAAGAAGATTATGACATGACAAGACCTTATCTTAAAAAAGATGGCATCCTTCCATTTTAATTCTTTTTAAAGAGAGAGTTTTTCCCTATAGAGCATGTGTGCTCCATAGAGAGACAGAGACAGAGAAATGGAAAGTGAGAAATCACCCCTGAGGGGTGCCATACTGTAATCCCTTCTCTGTCTTCCTCTCAGGATTTTGGGCATGCATGCACATGCACCCAGCGTGAGGTTCACATTACTGAGTCCAGGACTCGAACAATAGGTGGCCATGTGGGAGTCCAGCGACATAGCCATTATGCCATTTGCTCGTCCCCATTTTTAATCTTTAGTTTCCATGAGAAGCTCTTTTATTTTAACAAGGTAAGCTGTACAGTGGTATTAAAGAGAGTTTCTCCTCTCTTATCTCATCTTATGAATTAAGGAATGTTCATAGTCTCATGTATATTCTTGCCAAAATTTTACACTTAAACAAATATATTTTCACATAATATAGGGTTAAAAAACAATGCATATTATTATGCTTACTTTCTCATTTAAAAATACACCTGTTTTTACATTATTAACAGAGATACTTGAAATTAATTATAAAAAAATGGGGGATTATTAACTCACAATTCTTGTGGCTGGGAAAACCAAAAGTATAAGCATGGAAATGTATAAGCCTGGTATCAGACTGGTCTTTGGTGTGGCCAATGGAAGAACAGAGGATGGCAGTTGGGTGCAGAGAGAGAGAGAGAGAGAGAGAGAGAGTAAGAGATATGTAGGCAGCTCTTTCTTTTTTATAGCAACCAACTCTCCTGAGTACTAAGCTGTTCTTATGAGAATTAGAACTCACGAGGTCTCTGGAAACATCATTAACCTATTCATGAGAGTGTTGAATCCATGGTACAGTCACCATGATTCAATCATCACCCACTTGACCTCACCAATTCCAACATGAAATTCCAAAACATGAAACTTTTGGGGACAAATTATTATCCAAATGATAGCAGGCGTAAAATTCAGTTTTCCAAAATATCTCTTCAGCATAAATTATGCTTAATATTTGTGAAATATTAATAAGGTCATATATCACTCTAAATAATTATATTTTTCTTGTCTTCCTTGGCGGCCATCCTACCTGTGACTTTTGTTTGGAATGAGGCTGTGAGGACTTGTATTTTTATATCATGAGCACTTAATTAGTTGTCAAGTGCAGTTTAACTAGTAGCCTACCTGCATACTAGTGCTAACTATTCCCCATCTGGTCTTAATTAGATGTCAGGTTACATTTAACTACTAGTCTACAAGTTACAAGTCTTAACTAATTGTCAACTAATGTTAACAAATTGTAACTACTTGTCATGTTAGATTTAACTAGTAGTCGACCAAGTTACTAATGTTAACTAGTTGTCAACTAATGTTAACCAGTTGTAACTAATTTTCAACCAAAGTTAACCAGTCTTAACTACTAGTCATTTATTGTTAACCAGTATTATCTAGTTGTCATGTTAGATTTAACTAGTAGTAGACCTGGTTACAAGTCTTAACAAGTTGTCAACTAATGTTAACCAGTCTTAACTAGTTATCGGCTAATGTTAACCAATCTTAACTAGTTGTCAAGTTATATTTAGCTAGTAGTCGACCTGGTTACTAGTCTTAACTAGTTGTCAACTAAAGTTAACCAGTATTAAATAGTTGTAATGTTAGATTTAACTACTAGTTGACATGGTTACTAGACTTAACTAGTAATCAACTAATTTTTAACTAGTCCTAGAGATGGCCTTAACTATTAGTCTGCCTCATTACTAGTTTTAACAAGTCAGCAAGTAGGTTTAACTAGTCAATTAGTTGTTCTTTAACTAATGTGTGCATTAACTAATCAAGTAGTCATCAAATGAATTTTAAATAATAGTAAGTCTGGTTAATAGCCTTAACAAGTCCTCTAGTTCTTAACTACACGTGTTTCTGCTTAGTAATCCTAGCTAGTCATCAACAAGTTTTAAGTAGTCCTTAGGTTGATGCTAAATAGTAGTGTTTCTGCATATTGATTTTAACAAGTATTCAGGTAAGGTATAACTAGTTGTCTGCCTGGATAACAGCCCCCACTAGGCCTCATGTTGGTCTTAACTAGTAGTATTTCTGCTTACTAGTCTTAACTAGATCTATAGTTGGTCTTAACTAGTAGCCTGGCTAGGTACTAGCCTCAAATAGTCATGCCATGTTTAACTAGTCTTAACTAGTCACCAATTAGTTTTAACTAGTCCTCAATTTGCTTTTAACTAGTAGCCTTCCAGGTTACTAGACTCAACTAGTCATTGACCAGATTTAACTAGTTCTACAGTTGCTATTAACTAGTAAACTGCCTGGTTACTAGTTTAAACTAGTCATCAACAAGATTTAATTAGTCATCCAATATATGACTCCTCAAAAAAATTAACATGACACAAAGCATATAACGGTTGCTCTAAATATAATGATGTGGAAATAATTAGTCCCTCTATAATGTATCCTCCAGACATAGATCCTCGAAAGTCAAAATCAGGCTATTCCTGTCATTTGAGTGTTTCCTCTCCTATGAACTGGCACAAAACCACCCTTGAAAAAGGGAAGAGCTTGTAAAAGTTCCACTTTTTACGTAGAGAAAAGGAAGTTAACTTTCTTTTGAAGATCCCTTTCAAAAGGTGATAGACGGCAACATTCACTAGGTAAAATTTCTCTGGAACTGTAATCGTCCAGATGTTGGCTCATCTGAAATGAAAGATGAAATGATGACCTTTTTCCTTGGAAACAATTACTTTATTGAAGTTTATTTATTCATTTATTTATTTTAATTTGACCAGAGAGGATCAGAGAGAACATGAGAAAGCAAGCCACCAGGTCCAGGACTCAACCTGCGGTGGGCCATGTGGGAGTCCAGTGCCCTTAACCACGGTGCCCAATAATGACCTTTTCTCTAGCCAACTCATTAAGATCCTCTAGTTTAATGAGCGAATGCAAACTTTTACCAAGCCCGAGTCCTGTTAAGGTTTTAGTAACTGGCATGTTGAAGCAGTTAGAAACAGGTGTTCTTCCGTGACAACAGCAAACCGATCGCTACTACCATTTGGTAAAAACTCAGCTGAGAGGCGGAGGACTGTACAGGGAGTAGCATTAGCCTGCGGCTAATCATTTCCCCCTGAGCACACTAACGACACTTCCCCATTCAAGCAGTCCTACACACATCCCAAGTTTGGTCCACATGTAGCTTTCCTCAGATTGTTCCTTTGTTGGTGCAGTTCTTCTCTCAAGAGTACTACTGAAATGTGTTGTAATATCGACTAAGAAAATGTTATGGTTGACACAGCCCATTGCCTTCTTATACAGATGCTTGGGACAAATACCTCTCAGTCTAATTCTGGTACCAGAAATACAGTTTTAATCAGAATCCCCATGAAATGGGCAACAGAAATTAAATTAAAAAAAGTCTGCGGACCACAATTCTAGCATATTCCATCCACAAATAGTCATCTGTTTGAAGACTAAGAGCAAAGGGACCAGCAGTTAGCGTGGTGGCTATGTCACCAGACTCCCATGTAGTCGACCGCGGATCAAGTCCCGGACCCGGTGGTTAAACTCACGCCGGGCGCGTGTGTGTGCGTGCCCAAGACCTTGGGAGGATAACGGAGGAGAAGAGATTGTGGCGTGGCCATCCACCCTGGGAGGTGATTTCTCACTTCCTATCTCTCTGTCCCTCTCTGTCTTCCTGATGAGCACACGTACCCTATAGCAGAAACCTCTGCAAAAAAAAAAAAAAAAAAAAAAAAAAAAAAAAAAAAAAAAACAAAAGCAAAATATCACTTACAACATTCAAACAAAAGACTAGTCACAGGTCCAGCTAAAGTATCACATGCTGCTTGGCAGGCTTAGGCCGCATGGGAGGCCCAGATTCCATTCTCAACCAACCCTAAAGGCTGGGCATGATGGTACAAGATTACAGTAGCTGTAATCTTAGCTACTCAGGAAGCTGAGCAGCAGGATCACAACACAGAGGGATCCTATGCCTACAGTAAAATAAAATAAAATAAAATACCTATATTTTTACATTCATGATGTTTGGTACCTGATCATGAATGGATGAGAATTAATTCTGTAAAGAATGAACCGGTAGCAGCCTCTCTACATTTCTTAGAGTAGTAAAGCACAATTTGATCAGATAAACTTCAAGGTGTTTCTCTAGGCATTGTGTTTGTTTGTTTGTTTGTT